GAGGCCCAAACACCCACGCGCTCCCTCTCCTCCCCGCGCGCTGACAACGGAGGGCTATTTATAGGGCCTGCTTGGGGACTTGCTCCAGCTGCCGGGCGGGGTGCCCCACAGTCTCAGTCTCCTTGCAAACGTGTCTGCCCAGCTGATCTTGGGAGAGCAGGGGACTCAGAATCGGAAGCAGCCTTTGAAAAATGTAGGTACAGTGTCCTCGTGACCGACAGTGGGCTGAGGAACCAACTCCTCCGAACGGCCCGGAGAGGTGGCTGCCTTCCAGCGGGAGCCGAGGCCACACGGAGCCTGGTCGCCAGCCCAGCCGCCGGAGGCGTCCCCCCGACACCGGTGCACGATTAAGATGTGTACACACATTCAAATACGGGACAACCCTCTGTCCCGTATCTTTTCTTCGGTCCCCTCTTTAATCTCTTGTCCCTGAGGGGCGTCTGAGCCGCGTCGTCTGGGTTTATTCCATTTGGCTCCTTGGAAGTGGCATCGGAGGCGGGAGCCCTGGAAGGGTGGACCCCCAGGGTCGGAGGGGCACAGAGCGGGGCACCGTAGCCATGAAAACAGAGCCACCGGGGAGAGGAAAGCGTGAAAGCCCAGAAGTCCAGGATGCGCCTAGTCCGGCTCGGCTGTTGAATTAGCAGCAGCAAATGGCAGTTTCTCGGCTGTCACCTCCTGGAAAGGAAGCGGCAAGTCCTGGTCGAGCCGCAGAGGCTCCTCCCTGACGCGCTGGGTCGGAAGCCCAGCAGCGGGATGCGCTTCCGCTTGCGCTGTTACAGGTCGGCGTTTGCTCGTAGAAATAGACTCTTCCTGGGACGTATGTGCCTGGGGACAGCAGTTGCCTCCTGGGGGGTCGCAGGGTGATGGGTGCTTTTTACTCTACAGTGTGTATGTGACACAAATACACACGAGAAGGTTTTATGGAGAGAAAGCTTCCTTGTCACGGGTTGGTGCTGGAGTGGGCAGGTGCAGGAACACAGTTCCTTTACTAACTTGCATTTTCTTAGAATAGAAAAAAAAAGCCCATCGAAGATTGAACAATCAGAAAACTCGAGGGAACAATCTCCTTTGGCTCCTTTTCTGACCCTGAAGGCCTGTGACACAGCCACACAGTGGGTGTCTGCCTGCCCCCGAGCCTCAGACCACATTCCAAACCAAAGCCCTTTTGTAACGCTGACCACTGGCCAGGGTTTCCTCCCCTCTCTGCTTTCTTCCCTGCCAAGCTCCACGGTCGCTCTCAGGGCCTGGTTCTGTCCTGAACCTTAGCTGATGGCAGCGGCCATGCACCCGTGTCTGTCCGTAGACGTGGGCCCTGGTCTCTGTGCCCTCCCCCTGCGAGCCAGGCTCCTGCCAGGCTGCCTGCCTTCTGCGCCCGAGGAGCAGCTGGGGTCCCTGCCTGCGTGGAGGGGCCGGAGGTAGCCAGTGCCCGAGCAGCTGTGCCCGAGGTACGGGGCCTGCAGTGCAGACGGCTTCCTACCTGCCCCACCCCATGGGCCTTTTCCCGACATTGACTTTCTGGGCCCCAGTGGGCCTCCCGCCCGAATCTGCCAGGTCTGTGTACTTGGGCCCGTCTCATCTCCGGTAGACCCATCACTTCGTGGTGGTTAAGAACATTGAGAAAGGCTGTGTCCTCTAACTTGTTACGTCACCTGGGTGGGTTTCAATTTCTCCATCTCTAAAATGGGCATAATAAGAGTCCCCGCCTCCCAGGGATGCCGGGAAGGTTGGGTTTGGCTCTGGCCGTAGAGCATTCTCTCTGTGAGGCACTGTGCCACGTGATCAACACACGGACGCGTTGCTGGTGGTGTCTCCAGCTCATGGCCGGGCTGGACACTGGAAAAGTTATCATCTCATCAGAATCTTCAACCTTCTTCCTCATGAAAAAGCGAGTACGTCTGATCTTCTGGGGCAATACAGGTACCGAAACTCAGACGGGATTTAAATGGAGTAAATGAGAAAATCTTGGACACAGAAGAGTGTTTGGTACAAGGTTTCTGCCTCCAAAACAGGACCGGTGCCAGCACCTGTCTTTGGCCCATTTACACTCCCATCAAAGGGATGGTATCTGAGCTCCTTTCAGTTGCTAGGCAAAGAGAGCAAAGCGTCACATACTAGCTTTGGGCCTGAGAGAAGCAGAGATCTTCTCGGGGCCTACACTGAGCTGTGAAACTAACTCCAGACGGGACAGGGCGGGGGTCCAAGCACAGGGCGGGGGTCCGAGCGCGAGGCCGGCCGGTTTCAGAGCTTCACGTGACGACTGCCCTCTGGTGGGGAGGCTGGAACCACACCGAGCAGACACATTTTACAGGAGCAGCTCTGACTCCTCTTGCCTTTCATCCGGTTTCTAATTGATTTTAGAGAGAGGAAGGGGAGGGAGGGAGAGACGCCGATGTGAGAGAGAAATATCCATCGGGGGCCTCCCACGTGCGCTCTGACTGGGGGTCAAACCCAAAACCTAGGCAGGCGCCCTGCCCGGGGATGGGATCCCTTCCCTTTGGGCGCGGGGACGGTGCCCGGCCAGGGCCCCCTCTGACTCCACATTGCAAATAAAGGCCCTCGCATCCCAATCCCACTCCACCCTTTGGTCCAAACCTTGCGGCTTTTAGGGCACTTGTGTTGGGTGGGGCCGCGGGATGGGACTGGGGACGTTTTGAAGAATAAATTTTGAATCCTGGCTTCTGAGCGGAAACTGTGGAGAACACTGTGCTGGTTCTACTCACATGCACCTCAGCAGGCCTCCTGGTCGGTAGTGTGATTGATGGAGGCGTTTTTGGGGCGAGAGACCTGCGTCTGAATCCTCGGCCTGCCCTTTGCTATCTGCTTGGTCCAGGGCAACTCCCAAGCTGAGGTTTAATTTCCCTCTCACCAGGAAAGTGGGAAAAATACATAGACCACTTAGGGTTGTGTTTTGAGGGTTAGAAAAAAGATACAAAACACTTAGAATAGCACCCGGCCCACAGGAAGTGTTAGATCAATGTTAGATATTATTTGTAATATGCGAGGGCATTCGAGGTCTTTGGGGAAAAGGCTGGCGCATTTCAGTTCAGCAGTGGCTGTTTTTAAAGGACTAGCACGTAGCGTTGCCCATGTTTCTTTAAACATTCATCGGGGCCTGGCGAATGGCAGGCGTCACTGGGCCACTGTACCGGCCACTGATCCTCGCAGGGGAGGCTCAGAGCGAGCTGGCCCCGGGAGGAATTCTCAGCGGCCCCGTCACACCGGAGCGTCTTTATCAGCTACGATCAAATGAGTTTTCCTTTTTCCACAATTTGCTTTTAAGCCCTTCGGTGGTACTAACATTACTTTTTAGTTGCTGAGCTACTAAGCTTGAGAAAAGTCAAAACTGCTTTTTTAACCCGAGGGAAATTCCAAGGAAATTCTTACTACAGCCGCTCACGACTGGTTCCTGGGAGCCTGTGTCTTTTCTTCGCGACGTTGCGTAACTAAAAGGCCAGGTAGGGTGTAAGGTTCGAGAGGACAGGGTTGGAGGTGGTGGGGTGGCGGGTAGCCCGGCCCAGCCGTCGGGGGCAGGGACGGACGCCGGGCGTCCTAATCGGCCCCGTAGCCCTCGGTGAATCCTCACAGGTGACAACAGTGGAAACTCACGTGGTGTCTCGGCCTCCACCCAGAAAGCCCTCGGCCCTTCTGGAGGAGAATGAAGGCTTAGAAACCGACTTAACCTGCTGCCCTGCCCTTGGAATTACCCAGCCTTGCTCCCTGTTGGGTCCTGGCTGCTAAGCTGGCCGTGACTGGGGGAGGGGACGAGCTTGCCAGGGTGGCCACAGTGCGGGCAGGGTAGAAAGAAGGGTCACCTGTCAACACCTGGGCTCCTCGTAGGCCTTCGAAAGGGCTGGCAGCTCCACATCGGGCCCAAAGATGGACACAGGGCGGGGCTGGAGCAGCGGCTCCTGAAAGGACTGTCCCAGCCGTGGAGCTGTAGGAGAGCCAAGGGTGTCACCCCAGCCTGAGGCCGGCCGCGGGGGCCTGGGGGTGCCGGCAGAGGAGCCACCCAGCCCTGCCCACTGCTCAGCTCTTAGCATGCTGTCCATTTGCGCCAANCTAGCGTGCTGTCCATTTGCGCCAACAGCGCCCCGTCGGGCACACCTGGGGCAGGTGTGCGCTTGCGCGGGGATTGGCACCGGGAGGAGGTGTGAGGGGAGGGGGTGCTACGGTGCAG